ATCCATCCATCCATCCATCCATCCATCCATCCATCCATCCATCCATCATCTTGTTCCAGAGTCAGATCTCTGGCGCAGCATCTTGAACAGGGAGGTCCAGACTTCTCTTCCTCCCACAGCCTCCTCTTCCAGCTCTTCTGGGAGGTCTCCAAAGCGTTCTCAGGCCAAATGAGCGACATAGTCACTCCAGCATGTTCTGCGTCTTCCCCAGGTCTCCTCCCAGTTGGACATACCCAGAAAACCTCCCTACGGAGGCGTCCATGGACTCTCATCCCAGGTGTGAGCCGCCCTGAAGACACCAACAAAACCACATCGTCTGCAAAAAGCTGAGACAAACCAGACCCCTTCCTCTTCACAATTGCACATTGAGATCCTGTCCATGAACAACAGAGACCAGGGACAGTCCTGGTTGAAACAAGCTTTGCATCGAGGATGCAGACACAGCTCCTGCTTTGGTTCTACAGGGACCAGATAGGACCGGATAGCCCACAGGAACAAACTACTACTGAATGCCTTGAGGAACACTGTTTTAAGTGGTTCCGAGCTCCACAAAACACATGTAGGCCGAACAGTCAAAACTCTCATGACCCCCTTAGAAACTCTACAAGGGTAAATATCTGGTCTATGACCTGGACTAAAGTTACCCTGCTCCTCCTGGATCCAAGCTTTGACATACCCTCCCTTCCAAAACTCTGGACTAAACTTTCCCAGGAAGCTGAGAAGTGTGATCCTCAATAGTTTGATCACACTCTTTGACTCGTGGCTTCTGAGGATCTGTGGGTTCAACCTGATGAAACAACAGGATGCCATCTCCACCTGGACCCAACCGCCACTGGAGAAGTCGAGGTTTGGTGTGATGTGAGCTTGGGGACCAAGCATGCTGGCTCCTGGTTTTAAATCCTGTCATAGCGCTGATACAGCACTTTTTTTGGGACTGGGACCTTGAGGATAATTTCGTTCCACCTCATGTACATGTGATGCGAATGACAGTACAGTATAGAAACTTGAACTTGAAGATATCCTGATGCATGCTCAATAATCCAGGTAGAAAAATCTAAAAAAGTTAAATCTGGTCCTCTGGACATTCAAAAAAACCTAAAACAAAGCAAAACAACAAAAAATGTAGAAACGTTTCGTCTCTCGTCCGAGAGACTTCTTCAGTCTGAGGTGCTGTTTTCAGCTCAGTCTCTTAAATAGCACCGTCTCAGAGTGGATCAACCAGTTTGCTGCTGACAACCAAAACCAGCTGATCACATGCTCAAGAAGGACCATCAGCCTGACAATTGATCATTAGCACACTGATGGCTGTTTACTACTCACAGAGGGCTGAGTGATACTAGCAATCACAGCATTGTAAGAGGGGGACAGTTGAACCCGGAGGCCTCCACCCCTGTTTAATGATGGACGGTTTCTTTTCACAAAGATGGCCTCCTTTACTCCTCTCTCAAACCATCGTTCCTCTCTATCAAGGATGTGAACATCTTCATCCCTGAAAGAGTGACCGCTGGCCTGGAGATGAGTGTAGACCGCAGAGTCCTGGCCTGATGATGTTGATCTTCTGTGCTGGTCCATCCTTTTGGCCAGTGGCTGTTTAGTTTCCCCGATGTAAGACTGATCACAGTCCTCCTGACACTGAACAGCATACACAACATTACTCTGTTTGTGCCGGGGGACTGGATCTTTGGGATGAACCAGTCTTTGCCGTAATGTATTTTGGGGTTTAAAAGCCACTGGGATGTTATGTTTAGAAAATAAACGTCTCAGTTTCTCTGATACTCCCTCAACATATGGAATGACCACTGGTCTGGGTTCCTCCTTTTCACCTGTTGGCTGACTGGAGTCCTGTTTGGGTTTCTTCTCTGCTTTCAGGAAGGCCCAGTTAGGATATCCACATTGCTCTAGAGCCTGTCTTGTGTGGGATTTCTCCTTCTGCCTGGCTCCTGAGCTAGTGGGGACGCTGTCTGCTCTGTGATACAGAGTCCTGATGACTCCTAACTAGCTGAAAACAGCACCTCAGACTGAAGAAGTCTCTCGGACGAGAGACGAAACGTTTCTACATTTTTTGTTGTTTTGCTTTGTTTTAGGTTTTTTTGAATGTCCAGAGGACCAGATTTAACTTTTTTAGATTGAACTTGAAGAGTTTTTTTTTTATAAATCTTGTCCCAGGTTGTTTTATTTCTTTTAGATCTCAGTCAGTCACAGCATCTTGTATCACGACCTGAACATGCTGTTTGTTTTAAAGGCTCAGTTTTCACATGGTTCAAGTCCTATTTAGCTAACAGGTCCTTTTCTGTTTCCATGGGTGTCTACTCTTCTTTCTCTGCACTTTTTGTTCGTGGTGGACCTCAAGGGTTCATTTTAGGATACATTCTGTTTTCTTTATACATCCTGCCTTTGGGATTAACATTTAGAAAGCATAACGTTTCTTTTCATTGCATCCAAATATATTTCCCTTTGAAAATGGATTTCTCTGCCCCACAGTAGTTTTTGTTCAACTGTCCACAAGATGTCAACAGCTGGTTCACTCAGAGCTGTCTGTCCTTGAATGAAAGCAAGACTGAAGTTGTCTTGTTTGGTAATCATACTTCTCTCAATGGGTTTGCTGATATTCATGACCCACTTGCTCCTCATTGTTCCTCCATTGCAGAAAAATCTTGTTCAGTTCTTCTAAATTTGAGAAGCAAATATCATCAGTTATTAAAACCAGTTTTTTTTTTAGTTATGTTTAAATGCCAAAGTGAAATCGTATTTTCCTCCAAAAGACCTCAAAACTCTAATCCATGCCTTCATCACCTCTAGTCTGGACTGCTGGGGCTTGAACAGTCGGCTCTCCATCGCCTGCGGTTAGTGCACGACGCTGCTGCACGTCATTTAACAGGAACCAGAGGGCATGACCACACCTCTGCAGTTGTATACACCAGCTGCCTGTTCACTTTCGTATCGATTCTTTTACAGAGCACAGATCCTCCAGCCTGAAGGTCTTGGAGCAGCTTGATCAGCAGCACCCAGACTCTGGACCAACCTGCCCCTGGATATTGGTTCTGCAGAGTCTATAGTTTTTTTTAAATCTCGTCTGAAAACTCTGTTTTACTCCGGCTTTTAACACAAGTTCAGTTTGAGTTCCATCAGAAGTTTTGAAGTTGTGATATTTTGTTGTTTTACTTTGTTTTGAACCAATTTTATTATTATACTTGTGGATTTTTAAAGTCTGAGCTCTTGGATTTTTTTTTTTTTATTGTCAGGTTTTCCTGTTTGGTCTTGACCTCCTTGTGAAGCATTTTGGCCAATGTTGTTTTTAAATGTGCTTCAAATATAACACTGACATCACTGACACCCTCAAACCAATGGCATCGCAATTTAGAATAAATTAACTAAACTAGACAACAACAAAACAACTAACAAACACAAGAAGACTTGGTACAGAGAAAATACAGAACCAGAACAGACACCAAATGAACTGAAATGACCTCAAAAGGTTTGAAACATCAACTTAAAACTGCCAACAAGGAAAATAACCAACAATAAAAGGTTAAAACATAAAGAAAACAAAAACAAAAGACAGAAACACTTAAAGCAACAGGAAAGAAACAGCCACAGAAGAAGCCATCTTTGCAGCGTTGGGTCTTGAACACAGAATCTTCATGGTTCATTGGAGTGAATTAATCTTCTGGTTGTTTTTCCAGGTATGGATCATCTGAACACCTCCAGCAACCAATCGGACTTCAGCAGCATCTTCACCAAGCAAGTCCTGCCCCCACTCTACCTCACCATCTTCATTGTGGGCCTGTGTCTGAATGGAGTGGCCGCCTGGATCTTCTTCAGGGTGCTGGCAGACTCAGGTCTGGTGGTCTACCTGAAGAACATAGTGGTGGCTGACCTCCTCATGCTGTCCTCCTACCCCTTCAGGGTGGTGGCTAGCATGGGCTTTGGCGGCGGGTACCTCCAAGCGATCAGCTGCCGCTACACTGCTGTGCTCTTCTACTTCTCCATGTATGTCGGGATCCTCTTCATCGGCTTTATCAGCCTCGAGCGATATGTCAAGGTGGTCCACCACACGCCATCTTCTTCCGCATCCTCCTGCAGGTCCAGATTTCATGGGGTGTCCATGCTGCAGCGACTGCAGAGCCCAAAGTTTGCTCGCATGCTGGCACTGCTCACCTGGGGGCTCCTCCTCCTGTGCTGCCTGCCTAACGCCATCTTAACGAACTGGCCGGTAAATAAAGATAAGCTCTCGAATTGCATGAAGCTGAAGACGCCGCTGGGCAAGCAGTGGCACCAGGTGTCCTCTTTCGTCAGTGTGTCCCTGTTCTGGGTGACGATGGTCTCTGTGGTCTTTTCCTACACTTCCATCGCCCGCCAGGTGTACAAGTCGTACCGCCGGGTGCGCCAAGACAACGGCGACATCTGCCGCAGGTCCAACCGGAGCATCTTCAGCATCCTGGCGGTGTTCTTCATCTGCTTCGTCCCGTACCACGTGTGCCGCGTGCCCTTCACTCTGAGCCAGATGCCGTGGTCTGGCTTTAGCTGGGACGTCCGCTTCCTGCTTTACCAGATAAAGGAGGGGACGCTCTTCCTGTCAGCACTGAACGTCTGCCTCGACCCTGTGATCTACTTCCTGATGTGCCGCACCTTCAGAGAGTCGCTGCTGAGGAAACTGTCAGGAAGAAAAAGGAGGAGGTCCCTGACCACGGCACAGAGTCTCAGCAACATCTAGGAGAGGAGACAGGAGAGGACAGAGGAGACAGGAGAGGACAGTGGGGACAGGAGAAAACAGACGAGATCAGAGAGGGCAAAATAGACAGGAGAGGACAATGGGGACAGGAGAGGACAGACAAGACAGGAGAGGACAGAAGAGACCACAGAGGACAGAGGAGACAGGAGAGGACAGAGGAGACA